AAATTGAAAAAGATAAAATTACTTTAAAATTAGTTTTAAATTGAGATGAGGTAATTATAGGAAAAACTTTTCTGAAGTTGTTTTGAAAATTACTTTAAAACTGATTTTAAATTGAGATTAGATGATGCATATAAAAAAAGAAATTTTATTAAAATTTATATTAGTTTTTGATTAAATTTAAAATTTTGGATAATTTAATAATTTTTAAAATATATTTTTTATAAATAATTTAAAATTGATATCATCATAATGAAAAATTTTAGAAATTATCTTATGTGCCATAAAGAGAAGTTATCCACATAAGCGTCTATATCAACATATCTATTCCGGTAACTTTGTATCATGTAATATAATATATATATATATAGGTATATATTTATTTTTTATTAAATATTTATTTTAAAATAACTTTTAACAAATAAAAAATACCATGAACGAAGAGTTGGCAAAAATCTAATATCATAAAAAATCTAACTTAAACAAAGAACATTATTCCTAAAGCCATCTAAATTAAAAATTTTAATTTAATTTATTTTCTTTTGCCAAAAACAGTCCATCTCAACTAAATCTCAAATTAAATCATTTTATTAATTAATTTTATTTGAAAATTAAGCGGAAGTTAGCTTGGTTTCGATCAAATGTCGATTTTGTTTTATCCAAATTTTAGTGATAATAATATCATAATAATAATGTAATGTAAAGGGTTAATGTTATAAATGATTTTAAAATATAATAATATGTTTAATATGGTACTTAAATTTTAAAAATTTTTAATATGATATTTAAACTATAAAGTTATTAACTAGTATGATACCCATTTCATTTATAATTAACTTCAAATAATTACACATGATAACACACAACACTTTAAATAGCACATTAATTAATATATTTATAACTCAAATATTACATAAAAAAATTTTAAATTCAAATATTATATTAAATATTTTATTATAATTTAAAATTTATTCGTGGTATTATCCCCAATGTAAACACTATATAAAGTCAAGATCAATTAAAAAAAAAAAAAAAAAGATATATAAAAAATGAAAGTAGCATAAAAGAGAGTTTTTTTGAAAAAAAAAAAAAGTCTTAATAAATTGTTAAATTTCAAGATTCCAACATAATAAAATTTGAGTTATTATCTCATCCACTAACGTTCAAAAACTTCACAAGCATATCTCTTTACGCTTCATGTCCTCATTTTAAAATAAAATGTTACCAACGTCAATTTCACAAAACTCAATGTTAACTTCAAAACCTTTATTAACTCTTCACCTTAAATCTAGGTTTGGTTGGATTAAACAACCCGTTTCCTCCAAATAGAAGAAAAAGGCAATCAAAAACATTTATAGCTGGTTGTTGGATTCTTGGGCAAGTGTGTGTAAACTCAAGAATATTTAACTTTTTTTTTTTTACTTCAATTTATTTATAATAATATAGAGACAATGGTATGAGCATTAATATGCGAGATGACAGTAGCCAGAAAAATTTTAATGGAGGCTAAAGATATATGCAATGGTGTAGTAAGCTATATGATTAATCACCATAAATGTCACATATAATTTCTACAACTCATTATAATTTGCAAGTATGCTGTGCCATTAAGTTAAATATATGCAAAGTGATGTTGAGTTCATCCCAAATGTTTTATCACAGAAAAGGACATCATTTGCATCTTGATCTTTGTTCTAATGGTTTTTTCCCTAATTAAGAATGCAAAATTATATAGTTATATGACAAAGTTAATTTAATGAATTTAGAGCTTAATTTAATTAACTCGTATTACCATTTTTCAAAAATAATATATAGTAGGTGAGGAATTTTAATTCTAACAACTATAATCTTATTTTTATCCTAGATTTGCAACATCATATGAAAAAGAAATCAAATTGACATTATAAAAAAAAAAAAAATCTAAAAGCGCCACTTTTTTTTGTTTTAAACTGTATGGATCTTTGAATTTTTCTTAACTAAATCTATTATAAAACTTAAATTTTATAAGCGTAGTATATAGTTATTCTAAAATGACTTCAGTTAGGAAATATGTGAAAACAGGGCACTTGTGCCAAAAAGAATCTAGGGACAATAATATTTTAGATCCAATTTCCAAATATTAGATCCTTCCTAATTAATTAATTGATAAAGAAAGGAGAAAAATATTTAGAAAACTCAAATTTGAAAGAAAATTTAGTACATCTCAAATGATCCAATCCATCTTCTTCTACCTGATTCCATCAAATTGATGTAACTTGAAATATTTTATTTTATATTTTATATGAGAAAAAAAATTTTGAATTGAACTTTTTGGATAGAGAGAAATGCATTTATTATTGAGATGCGTGGCAGCGTGAATATATATTATATTTTCTTTGAAAACAAAAGCATAAAATACCTACATAATAAAATTAACCATCAAATAATTTCAGTAATTGTCAACTGGTAAAGCCTTAATTTTTATTTTTCAAAACTAATTACATTATTATTAAAATAAAATGTTTACGTTTTCAACAACCGACGCTTTGGCCGAGTGGTTAAGGCGTGTGCCTGCTAAGTACATGGGTTTATCCCGCGAGAGTTCGAATCTCTCAGGCGTCGTACTTTTTATTAGTATTTTTGTGAAATTACAAAATAGCCTCTCGTGGGCAATTACAAAATGTACATGTTATGGTATTTGGGGTGGATGAAGTGGTAAAACACAACAGGCCAGGATAAAAATTTTTAACGTATTATCAAGTGACACGAATTCATTGAGAATAGAGAAAGTACATAATAATCAAATTATAAAATAAACAATGTATTAATAAGGATATATCAATAATTTAGTTTTTTAACAAAGAATTATAGCTATTTTTCAATACTAACTTCTTCCTACTTTCCCCATTTCAAAAATTTGTATTTGCAGTTATTTTACTTTTGTACATTTTTATATTTAAAAATGATTACTTTTTTTCATAATATTATAAACATTTAATTATTTATTTATTTATTCCATCTATAGTGAGTGAGAATAAAATTAGAATTATAAAAAAAATAATCTAATACATAGTAGAGTTTTTAAAATTCACAAATATTTGTTATATATATATATCTTTAGCATATATTAAAATATAAAAAATAAAAGTTCAAAATACATATGATAAATTTTTAATAGTTTTTTTAGAATAAAAATTTCACATAGTAATTTATATGTTTATGTTATTTTTATATTATTTTAAATACGTATAAAATATAAAAATTATTATGTTATAATTTATATTAATATATCAAACATAAAACATATTTTTTTTAATTAAATTTATATATATATAATTTTTATTAAAAAATTAAATTTTATTATTTTTATTATTAATTATATTTAAAATTATTAAATCTAATTATATCCGCAAGGACATGTACAAAAAAAAATTAACTCCATTGTTGCTCATTAAGAAAAAGACGCTAGGACCTGACCGGTTGGGTGGGCATTGCTGAGGATTCCAGATGGCAGGCTGGGCTTGACATTGGAGAACTGATTTAAGGACTCATTTTAGTTAGGGCGTACGATTCTGAGCTTATGGCCCATTACCGGCCCTAATACACGTTCAAAGTTCGAACTAATAAAAACGAACCAAGGTCGACTACTTGTCTCTGCACTGCCCACCTACCCCACCTACCCTCGGGAAGAAGAATCCGATAAGGCGAAATTAAAAAGTTTTTGTTTTTTGTGAGAATACATACAAAAGAATTTTAGAAAACAAAAGTACTATCTAATCTTCCTTAACATGGAGATGGAGTCATTGTTTAAGTAGTTCAGCGAGCATGAACTCCAGAGGAACAGAGTAATGAGCATCAAGTGTTTTAGTAGTATATATAGCAGCTTCCCTCCCTCGCCAAAAGATGAGCTACTTTGATGGCTTCTCGATCGGTAGCATATATAGCAGCAGCTCAACCCGCACAAAATAGTTGATATATATATTTATGGAAAATTTAAAAGAAGAAAAGTAATAATTACTTTGTTATTCTCTATATGAGTTTGCATCATCTCTTGTGCCGATCGAGTTTTAACCTATATATTGCTATGAGGCGTGACAACTTCTTAAATTTTATAATTAATTAAAAATTTCGTTATGAATGTCTCCAATAATTTTGGACTTAACAAGTTGGTGTTAAAAAATGAAGGGTCTCATTGCCTTTGCCCAGCAGAAAGTACTGTCGGCAAGAAAAGGCCAAGCATATGCTTAGAAAAAGGCAAAACATATATGAAAATATATATAGTTTTATGTGGTAGCTCTAGCCTGGCCATCTCTTTCCTTGATTAATTAAAGCTCCGTATACTCTGACCTCAATTACATGAAAAATGGACGAAATCATCATCAGTCACCACATCATCCCTAAAGGAAACACAACCATCCATTACTTTATAATTACAATTAATGCACGAGTTAGTTACGGGAATGTTAAAAATCCAAAGGAAAATGATTTAGAAAAGCACTACCTTCAATTATTCATAGAGAATATGGTGACCCCCCTTCATCGTCTAACTAATTAAAGCTTTTGCGTACAACTCACTTCTTTCATCAACTCGGTTTCTTTCATTCGCATCCTCACATTAATTTCTCCTCCCACTCACCAACTTCAAATTTTAATATTATTATTATTATTATTATTATTATTATTATTATTATTATTATTATTATTATTATTTCTCTCCACATTCCTACAAAGATTTTTATGGTCCCCAAATGCCGACAATTTCTTCCAAACTCAGCTATTCTCTACAACTTGTTTACAGACGTTTTTTATGGGAGACAAAACTCAAAATAAAACCCAAAAGACTATGAGCCTCAAGGGCAGATTTGGTGACTCAAATGTATATTTTTTTCTGATTGTTGCTAAGATTGTATGAGTAGCTTGGATATTTGAACTTTTCGTGATCAAAGAGAGGAGGTTAAGGTTTGGAAAGGGGCTAGCTGCTGGAAGATAAAAATTGGAGGGTTTGTAACTAATTGTTTAATTATTCAGCTTTGGAACTCAAGAAAATGAAAGGAAGAAACATCTAGCCAAATCCTTATGTTAAAGTATTATTAATCTAATTATGTTAACATATTATTAGAAATTATGAAATTATAATTAGAGTAATATCTAATACGATTATGATACGATATCAGCATAATTATGGTGTAATTCTTTTATTATTTTGTGAGAATTTTTTGTACATAAATATATAGGGCACTTCTGTACAAGAATGGAAGAACTACTTTTCTTCTAGCACCTCCAAGTCCCATTCTCCAACTTCTAGCTCTTCTCCTATCCAAAAATTCTCAACGGCGGCAGTGGCTGTGTTTTCTAATTTGTTATTGTTGTTGTTATTACTATTTATGATATTGAAAGGATTGTTGATGTTCCTATCAAATGAATTTTCAGTTTTAAGGTTTTCTCCAATGCTTTCTAAAGGAGGGACATATTCAACACCACCAAACATCTCATTTTCACCATAGAAACTGTCAGCATTTACCCCAACCTGTGTCACAAATGATGTCTGATTGACGTATCCGGTCGCCCCAAACACGTTTAGGCCATTCTCGAGCATCGGTAAAGAGTTGCCGATGTGATGATTCAGGAGCATGGGTTGCAAGGCAGAATTGGACGAAGTTGACGATAAATCCATGCACATAGGCAAAATGCCTTGTTCTTGCATTGACATGAACCCAGCCATGGCATCTTTATTAGGCTCCGACGTCGATGAATCACTAGCGTTTGGTGACAAATTCTTTAGCCTTCTCTTTATTGTTGAATTCCAAAAGTTCTTTACTTCATTGTCTGTACGACCAGGGAGGCGAGCCGCAATTTGAGACCACCTTTGAGGGTTTGAACAAGGTCAAACAGGAACAACAAGGGTCAGTACTTTCGATCAATAGTATATAAAAACAAAGTCTGTTTCTTGTATAAATAAAATGCATGTGATTGCAAGCAGCTTCTTCATATGGATTGGAATTGTTCTCTGATTATATTTACAGAGAAGTCAATTCTTTTGTTGATCTTTTAGAAAATTTCAGTCGTGAAGGGATATTAATTTGATGTAGTTAAGTTGAACTTCCTCCCGTTGCTTTAGGCGTTTGTAAGAAGATTTATTGGGAGTGACAAGGCCTAAGCTTGTGTTGTGTAAGCGAATTTTCGCTCCTAATGCACCAAAAAATGCATGGGAACTGTTACTTCAGATAGAAATTAAGGTCGACATGAAGCAATGAACATATAAATTTTCAAAGTCTTTTTTGACGCCAAGGACTTTAAAACAATCACAAATTTCGTTTTCTCATGTAAATATATATAATGAAATTTACAATAGTAATGGCAATGGCATGCATTGCAATTTGCATGCAATGAGAAAAGCATTAAACAAATGTAGGTTTGAGTATCTTCAACTCAAAAGGGTTGGTATATAGGTACCAGAAGATCTATGTTTTTGTTGGGTTTTTTTTTTTAGTATATTTTTCCCCTCAAAATGAAAAATTATAATGTAAGAGGAAATGCAAAATCTTTCCCAATTCTTTAAGCTTTTTAATATAAAGCGAAATAAGAGATGTGATCACAGATTTTTTTCAAACAACAATTACAAAATCTTGACTAGCTAAATTATTCACTCAATTTTTTTGGGTACTTAAAATTATTAGAGATTGATTTTATCACCCTACCGACAAATCATACATTGCTATTCACGCCATTTTTCATGTACCTTTCAACTTTACTTTTCCATAATGAGTATCCAAATACTCAAAATTAACAAACTTTAGCTAATTCATGTGCATATATTGTTCCTTTCACCACAAACTTTAAGTAATACTTTTTTTCTCTTACCTCTCCACCAACTACCTTAAACACCCCTTGACTAGAGGCTTTTATGGTACGCATGTGCAAATTAGCATCCAAAATAGACAAGGAGAGCTCTTGATGCCAACGAGCATTCGGCTCAGCGGCACGAGAGTGTTTAGACACTGGAGGATTGCCCAAGTTCGAGGTGCAATCCCCTCCGATGCCAAGGTAAATTCCTGTTACTGTGGGATCGAGTGTGGTTCAGGGTAGGGAAGTGTAAAATAGGAAAGAAAAAGAAAAAAAGAAGAGAGAGAGAGAGCCCTTGATTGGTGCTTCTCTTTTTTATCCTCAAATCACTTTAGAAGCCTTTCCACATCAGCTTCTCACTTGGCCCCTCATGTTTAGTTTAGTTATGTTCTGATCAATTTTGGGAGCTTATGTGCTAGAAAGGACTTTTGCACGATAGTGCCATTAGTATTGTAAAATTTTGATATGCACATAAGCTTAGACTACGAAAGAGAGTAAGTCTCATCTCTATCTATTTATCTATCTATCTATCTATCGATATATATATATATATATATATATATTATATAAGAGACCAAAAATATCTTTTAGACTATAATTGAAGGTTGAGGGGACTACAATGATGTAGAAGACTTTGATCATATGCTTCTCTTGTCAATGAAATTATATAGAAGGCAGAAAAGTTTCACCTGATGAAGCTAGCAATTAGAATATTTCTATCTAATTATCATTGCTCAACATTAAAATGCACGTAAAGTGTACTACACCTAGCAAAGAATATTGTAGCAGCTAATAGCCTAGAAGCATAAAAAAAGGTCTGAAATTAGAAAACATGGAAAGTAGGTGTTACTGTGTTTGATATCTACAACTATTTTAGGTGATTGGGAATGAGGGCTTTGCATAAAATTTTAGATTTGAGTAATAGTACTGATCTCCCGAGTTATAGACAAAGGTTAATCACTCTCCTCTTGCTCTTTTCACTTAATGAAATTTTAATCACATAAATGTATATCTGGAGTCCATGACCATGAGCCTAGATTCCAAGACAATGAACAAGGAGGAGATAAAAAAGTTATCAGGCTTGTAAGAGTTATGGGGGGATAATATATAAGTATAAGCTTCCATGCAAGATACAGAAGCACACCTGTTGCCAAGAATGGAATGTAAATGGACAATAAGCTCTTCTTCCTGAGGCGAAAACGCGCCTCGCTTGAGATCAGGCCTGAGATAATTGATCCATCGAAGCCTGCAGCTCTTGCCACACCTCTGCAGGCCAGCGTTTCTAGCTACATCATTCCAACAACCCTGGCCATTGTTTAACATATAGTTGATGAGCTTGTCATCTTCGTCTGGCGACCACAACCCTTTCCTAAGCTTACTAGTAACATTAATATTGTTACCTCCATTGCTACCCTTCACGGATGGATCAGGCTTCCTCATCATGAAATCAGCCTCCTATGAGAGAAACTGAGAACTAAGCCTTGGTTCCTACCCAATAATAATAATCTTGGTGGGTTATTTTTGTTGATCCTAACTAGTTTGATCATATAGATTAGTGGCCACTTTATAGAGTGAAAATAAAAGAGGAAGAGAGAGGAGGGGCTTCATGGAGTGGACATGTTGATGATGATGATGAAGGTGATGGTTGTGGGGTTTGCTTAGAATATAGGGAAAGGAGAGAGAAAGGGTTGGTTGATGGGTCTAAGTAGAAAACGGTTTGGAAGGGGACTTGAGAGATCAAAGAAATATTTAAAAGATATGCATACAGAAAAGAAAAGGTGGTCCTCTTGTTTTGGCTCTATTATCTTTTTTTTTTCTTTCTTACATTTTTCTTCACACACAAGGTAATCATCATAAATTAATCATATACAAAATGAAAAAAAAAAAACTAAATAAAACATAAAAAACAAAGTAAGAAAATAAAAATAAATAAATCTATCGGCTTTATTTTGATACCAAGCCAAGATATTTGCTTCAAATTCACATTTCTATTTTCTATCTCATGAACCAAGACTCGTGTATTTGAAGCTATAGAAATGGGTGTGGGTGACTAAAAATAATGGAAAATAATTTTATCGTTGATACACACTTGCCACATGTTATTTAATCTAAATCATATTTAGGTAATTTTCAAGTGGTGCATATTGGGCTATCGAAATTACACATTTAAGTTTTGATCATGGGAAAAGGAAAAGTAGAAGAGACTCCTCTGTTACTTTGTGATATACGTCACTTTTATATTTTTGTCATATGAAGAAATTAAGGTGACAAAAGGAAGGATATATATATATATATGGACATTTACTTTCATCTTTATTTATGAAGAATAACACAAAGAACTTAAGAGAAAATCAGAATTTTTAAATCGATATATTGATATATGCATTGCATGCACCTCTTGTAAAGGTTGTCTAATTACAAATCAAGAAGCAATTAATTAACCAACATATGAAGAATAACACATAGAATTGTACTTCAAGAAAATGAGTTTCGTTTGCCTTCAGTCCTCAGTAATTGACATTTTCAGTACTTATTGACTGCATTAAAGTGGAAAAAGCAAAAAAAAAAAAAAAAGAAAAAGGAAGAAAGAAATGAATTAACATATTTCCTTGATCTTTAAATTGCACCTGTTAGAAGCAATTTAGGCAAAGGGACACAAATCCCATTTTATTTATTTATTTATTTTTTGCATTAGTTTTTCAGCATATTCATATACAGTTTAATTATATACATACTGTTTACTATTCATCAGAGGAGGAACAAATAAGAACCAATGCCAAGGCACCAAGTTTTAGCTTCTGTAATGGAGGAGGAGGAAGGGCAGTCCAATATGGCAGAATGATTTCCTGCATGGTATGTAGGGGAAAAATATGAAAATTCCATATTCAAGCGGGAAAGGGGAAGCTCCAAAGAGATTCTTTTAGAATGTCGTTTGGATGAAAAATTTTAAAATTTTAAAGAATTTTGAAATATTAGCATTTTGAAATGCATCAATTCAAAATAACAGAATTTTAATTACATTGTTTAGAAAATTAATTTTAAAAAAGAAATTTGAAATATTAGAATTTAATGAAATAAAAAAATAATTATAATAGATAAATATTGATATTAGAGATAAAAAAATAAAATCCTAAAAAAATACATGTAATATGGGTATCGTTATATTTGTAAAAATGTATATATTATTAACAATATAAAATTTTAAAAAATAAATTTATAATGAGTTTTTATAGTTAAAATTGAAAAAAAAAAATTACATAAAAAAATAAATGTAGTACATGTTGACTTATCATAAAACAAAGGAATTTCACAAATTTCACTTCCTCACATGAAATTTGAAAAGAAAGTTTAAACCCTTCAAAATTTCTTTTTCAAATTTCAAAAATTTAAACAATTCTAATTTTTATTTTACCAAACAAAATAATTTCATTTTAAAATTTTAAAAATCTCTCTATAAATGAAATCTCTTCTTGAAATTCCTCGTTCAAACAAATATTTAATAACTAATGAGAAATTACATATGGAACCCATGTTTGTGGCAACTTAGGATTTGTTAAGGATTTTGTATGTATATCTTAATTTGTAAGTCAAAGCAAAATTTTACGGCCAAAACATAAGATAACGATTAACATCAATGCTTTTTTTTTTTCTTTTATATCATTTCGTTAAAACACATCATATTGTATTTGACTTCAAAAAATCTCATGATTACATTAGTTTTAGTGAGAATTAGCAGGTGAAATTACCTACTTCTATGAGAGAAGCTAAAAGAATTGCTTATGTCAGAAACTAACCCTAGCAATAACCTGAGCAAAACTAAGGGGGTAAAGAGTAGTTAATTTCTCTAAAGATTGATTTAAAAAAAAAAAAATTTGAAACCGAATCTTTGAATTAGAGATTTTATACATTTACTAATATTAATCCAAATGCTCAAGCAATTGTTTTATAGATCAATCTTGGATTATATGTTATTATATGATGTCTTCTTCTTCTTCTTTTTTTTTTTTTAATTATATTATATGCTCTCTTCTTGCAAAGAGAACAAGACACCAAAATTGCTTCAAAAGAAATATTTACGAACAAAATTTTAATTAATTTATATACATAATAGTGTCACTTGTATTTTAGCTTTTTTTTTAAAAAAAAATTGTATGATATTTAGCTCAAGTGATAAGATTGGATGAAATTAATTTTATGAACACCTAAATCGTCTAGTAACTTCAATAATCATAGTTTGGGAAGTGGAAACACAACTCTTTGTGATGCTCTTTTGAAAAAAATCTATCCGTGAGGCCAATTACACAATTTTCGGTCAAGATAAGAAACCCAAAAATTCTGTTCTTTGAAGCAAAAGCATTAACAATTCCAAACTTGATAATAATTAATTAAAAAATGTTGAATAATTAATGAAATTAGAATTTAAAAAGCAATAGAATAAAAATAAGTCTTGAATATTTTGAAATATAATACTAAAAGCTTAAATCCTTGCATAGGTTTGGGACTCTAGCCATATTTGCCCAAATTCAATTTATTCAATCCGATCAACCCTCGCCAATCACAATATGGATTCACAAAAAAAAAAAAAAAAAAAACGAGGGCCAAAGTTCATAACCTTTCTCTTTTTCTAAAGCAATGATGGGGAGAAAAAGTTTTTTTTTAATAAATAAATTTTTATATATTTATTTTAAAAATTTATAAAATTTTAATATTAATTTGTTAATGAAATAACATGATATATAAAGCTTATACAGCAACAATTCACTAAATATAAACTCATAATATTATCCATTCTCACTCTTAATCAGTTACAGTTACTCTTATCAAGTATAAAGCTACATAATTTGAGGACATCAAATGATTGAAATAAAAGTGAGATGGTTATTACTATCCATTTAAACCATATATATTCAAAGAATAAGAGGAAAAGGTTTGTAAGAAACATTTGGAGGTACTCCAAAGGCAACGGATGCAACTTTTCCAATGCTTTCTCCTTACTGTTGTGTTGCCAAAGCATTGCTTTGTCCCTATGTGCGAACATTACGCCTCTATCTATCTAACGTAGCATTTGTTTCGTGGATTCAAACTTTTTTTTTCTTGAAATCTAATTTTGTATTATGTGACTTCTTAGTTTGATTGGAAAATGTTTATGTCAAGCTTTGATCTTAACGTATTTTTGGAAAGACAAAAAAGATAGATGATTAGAGGTAAAGCTAGAGAGTGTTCTCTGTTTTGATACTCCCACACACAAGTCAAAATAGATGAAGTTGGGAAGAGAGTAACGAGGAGAAATAGGAGTAGTATAAACTTGCCTTCATGGTGTCTAAATTTTCATATTTATAGATAAACAGACCATTGGGGACAATAAGGACAGTGCTGAGCTAATGTGGCACTGGATGTGTTAGATAGACCTAATATATCAAGTTAACATAAATATCAAAATTACCTTTGATTGTCTATTGAAGGTTTTTAACAAAAAAAAGACCACTATGTCCTTTTGATCACTAAATCTCCTAATATTTTATCCTTTCCTCAAGTAGTCTAAGTATCAAACTATTGGATGTATGATCATTACACTCTATGTAGATCAGATGGGTCAATGAAGATGACATGAAACTTGATTCTTTAGAGCCAACATCATTGAGGAGATTAGTATTGAGAGATAAATAGCATTGAGTCATGGTCTGACCTAGTGAAGATATGATCTCACGTGTATATCTTAGGTTAAATGCATAGTCAGCTTAAAGGTTATCGAGGTGTTAATTGTTTGAAATGGTCCGAGATTAGTGGTGGAGTTTAATCTGGGCGATGTGAAACTTGTGTTTTATTTCAAAAGTTTGGATTTGAGTTTTTACTTTGAACTTTGTTGATAAACTGGGAGTTCAATCTATCCTGATGGGTTGTTTGGCCTAGCCCGTCTAACCTAGGATTTGTCTAGTCTAATCAATCTGATAGCATTAAATGAGAGAGGTAATCTAAGCGAGAAAATTAAAAAGGGAACATGAAAAAATGTCTTCCCATCATCGATCTGACACGTGGCATAGTTTATGTCGTTCATTTAATCTACGACAAGGCTATATAAAGAGCTGTTTGGGCTTTCATTTTTCATCTTTTTGCTTTTTTCTTTCAGTTCGGTCTAAATTTTTTTATCTTAAAAGCTTTTTGACTTTAAAGTTTTTTTTCTCTTTCTTCAATATATATTTTTAACCATGTCTTCTAGTGTAAGTTCTGAAGAATCTAAGAGTTTTAAAGTAGAGCCTAAAGGGGTCAACTCAGGTAGGATGATGATGACTTGATTCTGCCAGTCATTGAAGGTCATGATTGTTAAAGAATGGCCTTTTGGTTCAATCCGATGTTCAAGGAAAAGTAGCGACAAAACAAAAAATATACTCAGGCAAGAAAAGAACGGGTCCTAAGCACATAGGAACTATGTGCTCATATAGATTTCAACCTACAAAATCTACCACCTTTCCCCATTTCTCAGGTTGGTCCATCTTCTATGGTTGATTTTTTTTCATCTTCAGCTATCCCCCTTTCTGAGATTCGATCACATCAATTTTTTTCTCCTTCTATTCTTTCACCTATCGATGCTCTCGTTGTCACTTTTATTCTCATTTTGTCAGTTCTTGTTGGGATCACTTTTTATCCTAAAAGGTTTTCATTTCCCTA